TCTAAAGTATCAACTTGAAAAATGGAGATTTAAAGCTGTAAAATGCTTTTTTAAAAATCTCGTCACAATAATTTTTTTAACAAAGTTGCTCTATCTTGAATTTTTAGAAATTATCGATATATTAACGCATTGTCCGGACAATTAATTTGGTGACTGTATATTATTACTAACAAGAATAAAAATATTTTTGCTACAGATAAAGGAAGAGTATATGGCTGGGGTAATTCGGAGTACGGTCAGTTACCAATCAGAGAAGATAGTTATCAAGTAAACATTGCTACGGAATTAGATACACAAGAATTGGGACATATTGTAGACATTGCGGCAGGTGGATGTTTTTGCATGATCTTAAATAGTAAGCATCAAAATTTGTATAAATTCACCAGTTTCGTTTTAATAATTACTATTTGTGGTTTTTGCAAATAGAAAGTAGTAGTTTCTGTTTCAAATATCTTTCGTATTAATTTCTGGTACGCTTACGTGTTTGTAATATTAGCTAATATATTTATGTTACAGATGATGGTAATGTCTATGTATGGGGATATGGCATACTCGGTCTTGGACCTCAAGTGCAAAAAATATCAAAACCAACCATGATTCCTCCTACATTGTTTGGTAATAATGTGTACAATCGTAATGTCAAGGTAATTACAATAAATTGAATTAGTGTAAAAAGTCTTCCATCCGAAAGTCTTTCGTGAACATGTCGTTCATAAACTATACATCAATAAATTTTTTATATTGCTAGGTAACAAATATATATTGTGGGATTAGTCAACTTGCGGCACTAACCAACACAGGAGATTTATACATGTGGGGTTGCAATAAATTTGGATCTTTGGGATTAGGACATACGAAGGATCAATTTTTTCCATTAAGGGTAAATATTATATTTTACAAATAAAATACGAGTAAAAAGATAAGTAGGACATAAAATAACGCAAATATTTAATTTATATACAATTTCTGATTATATTAGTGCGGATTTTTTGACAGATTAATCTTGAGTGGCCAAAAATGACAACTTTTAAGGATGTTTAGTACCTACAATAGTAGCAAAAAGTTAAAGGACTGATTTTAACGAATATGCTCTTCTCATATAGTTTGAGTAATAAGGATTGTGCAGAATGTTATCATTTATTCAGAACTAGAGTACAGAAATGCTTCTGTTGCTTTTTTCCTGAGAATTTTCGAATTCTATGGCCAAATCTAATCAAAAAATTCAAATTAAAATCCTTATAACTTTGGA